ATCCTCACAACTGCTCAATGGGGCTGATTCATAACAATTCTGCAAACAGAAGTGGGAAAAATGTCCCCATTTTCATCAAGTGGTAAAGCTTTATTTTCACTTGGTTTAATTTTGTAAAACGTCCTCTTTAGGGAACCTTTTGTTGTCCGATTGTTAATCAATTAATCAAAAAATAATCGACGGATTAATCAATTTGCAAACTAATCGTTACATGCAGCCCTACCAATGGCCAATTATCACAAGTGCTTGATGACAGCTGTGGCTATAAAGGAAGTTAAACCAGTAATATGATTCAGCAGCAGCTAACTTTATATAAGGAGTTCGATATTGATAGCTTCTCTTCCTTATTGTTTGATAATCTGAAATATAAGAGAAACTTTTTAATATTACTGCAAATAGCATAGCACACCTTTGACCTTTTAAGTTTTTATTTTACAAAGTTCAGGTGTCTTAGCAACTTACATAATTATCATAAACTATCAGCACATGCACAGTTAATAAACTCTGCACAACCCTTAGTTTGTCATGCAGGCACCGAGACACAGATGTATGAGTGAAGGGGAGAGTTTATATTTAATCCCAGCAGTTTAACAACCAATTTCAAACCTCATATACTGCTACCTTTAAAGCAGACAAGTTTTTTAGCTAATCTTTTCTGCAGACATTACCCAAGTGCTGACAGCATGATCATTACTGCAGCTGAATGTCTATGTGTGTAATCTGTGTGTCTTTGTACTTCTGGATTATCAGATTAACTCTTCTGTCTGATGTAACTCTGAGTCACCACATGAAGTGAACGTGAACAGTCTTGATAGAAATAATTAGGGGAGTCTCGATACAACTTTATCATTTCATATTCGATAGCGACATTGCAGCTTTGAGTGTTGATCGTTACCGATATTGACCTGATACGGGTCAATTAATCATCCAGTGTGAATCATAAATACTTTATGATTTATTCTGCAGTGTGGAATGACAGAAAAGGCTTGACCAAGTGATATTTTTCAAACAAAGAACGATACTTGAAACCATCAGGTATGAGAACAACTGATGCTTTTCTTATTCACCAAAGAGTTGCATAAACTTTAAACAAAAGTGGATAGAAACAAAGTATTTCTATGAGTTTTCTAATATCTGAGATTTTAAAGGGTTTTAGAGGCGGCATATATTCCGCCATTTATTTTATTGTGGTATCTGACCATCCATCTCCATCTATCTTCTACCAGGGTCGCCAGTCTGTCGTAGGGAATGATATCAGACAAATATCTGATTAATATCAGATTGGCACGCCCCTAGAGATACTGCAACATTAATACAGATGCAACGTTAGGCTGAGCAGCTGTTTGTCTATTTTATTTCAACTCTGATATTACTAATAACAGCTGATACAGTATCTGAGAAACCTTCCAAAAGACAAATGTAAGACCCTTGAATGTTTTCCTTGAACACCTTTAAATGTGACTATGACGCCTGATTATTTGATGCAATTACAGCGCAAATTTGAAATGAGTTTTGCTTCATTTTATTTTGGACAAATTGTCTTGTACAAGTAAACAAGGATTTTATAAAGCCATCTTAGCAATTTCAATTCAAGTCAGTTATTTTTGTATCCATTCATACATCATATTCTTTTAAATAGTCAGATTTCCAAAGTGATGTGTTATATTTACATGTACATGTTGTCCATGATGGAGTCTCCATCTATGAATTTATTTTTAGATATTTCTGAAGTAGTCACACTGTCAGTGATTTAAGGATGAAAGCAGGGATGAATTGTTAAAGGGAAGGACTGGAAGGTGGAAGTGGATAAATGGATGGCTACAGATTTTAGCTGATAAAAATACAAATATTTCTATTTGTGAAATGCTTTTATATTCCAAACATCTTCAGACTTTTGGGGGAAATCATGTTAATGATTCTTTAACTAGGAAGAAACCTGTTTGCTAACCAGAATAAGTATATAACCTAATTCAGCGTTAAAACTGATAAAAACAGACACGAACGAGGATTAAATATTGATGCATTACATCATATCTAAAGGAGAAGGAGATTGAGTTCTTTCCAGCTGCATCACTCAGCAGAATGTGTATAATCATCTTACAAAGAGGCAATTACAGATGCACTGAGTCATGTTTCCATTGCTTATGTTTCTTATGTAAGGCAGGCAATCCAGCTATTAGCTTGGACTGTCTGCAAATCTATCAGTTTGGTTTTATTTGTAAAAGCGACCTAAAACGATTTTTCAAAACCATGAAAAAAAAACATTGAAATCACTGCCTCGGAATTGGCTAAAGGTTTTCAAACTGATCAGTTTTAATGTTACCTGATAGCAGTTCTTTCAGAGTGTTGTACCAGGAGTGAGTATGTTCTGCAGAGGCGTTGTGGAGGTGCAGTGTGTCCTCCTCCAGCCGCCTCCCTCTCCTCCTGCAGTGGAAGAGAGCAAGGCCGAGTACGGCTCCCCCCGACTGCTGGGTCGCGGCTCGCCTCCGTTTCACCTTCACGGCGAAAACGTCCTGCAGCAGCACCGCACCTGCCTCCAGCACGGTCCCATCGCCTGGAGAGAGATGCAATACATGAACACACATATGGAGCTAGCTCCATACATACACACAATGCTCATTTAGACAAAAGCTGTAACAGGTGCATGAGATCTGGAGACAGATCTACAGATTAAAAATACTGATATTTCATCTAACATGTGTTAACTTAGTTAATTGTTAAAACACTTCTAAGCACAAGATGGGGAGGTTATCATACATCATATAGTAAACACTGAGTTCAAAAAATGACTAATATTGTATACGTATGTATAAACACATATATTTATACACTACTTATTCTAACTCTGACCTTTATGCTAGCTGTAGAACGAATGGTCAAACTGCTGCCAGTTACATAACATCATCTGTAGAATTATTCACTAATCTACTGACCGGCGTATTGTTTAGTCACATCCTCCAATCATCCATCTTAATCAGGATGGGGATCGGAAATCTGATTGGTCCACGTCATATAAACCATCTAATTCACTCAGGATCCTGTCAGCAGAGTTAATGTTGCACACGGAGTTACATAACACTCACATTTTATTCATAGTACACACATGATATGTCAGTTTTAGGCTGATTAAGCCTGCTGCTGCTGTCTGAAAAGAACAGCCCTTTGAAACGATCAATGCATAAATAAACTAGGAAAGCAGTGCGAAAGCGCAGACCTCCACCAAGTAGCTTAATTCCCCGACATTTTGTGACTTCCACCTTAAGTTAATACCTGTATTCACAGAATTAGAATTTTTTTTATAGATTGTTCCTTGGACTGATTTGCACCTTTGTTAAGAATTTTATTAAAATCCGTTCATAACCATTCAAGTTATTCTGTACACAGACAGACACATACACATACACACACATACTCGTTCTGCCATTGTAGTGAGGACCATATTGACTCCCATTGACTTCTATTGATTATCAGTCATTTCCAACCCTTTCTATGCCGTAACCCTAAAACTAACCCTAAACCTAACCATTACCAATGCATACCTCACCCTACCTGTAATCCTAAACAATTGAAACCTTAGCCCTAAACCTAACCGTTAGCAAAATATCATGTGAGGACCGGCAAAATATACTCACTTTGCAACAACTGGTCCTCAATTTGATGGTGAAACTGGAAAAATGGTCCTCACTCTGTAATTTCCCTCTGGGATTATAAAGTATGTCTGATTCTGAGTCTGACTCTGAGGACTAGACAGGTACTCACACACACACACACACACACACCCACACACACACACACACACACACACACACACATAAACTTGTGTCGCTACATTTGTGGGGCTTTTCAATTGACATCCATTAATTTCTACAGCCTAACTGTGACCCTAACCATTACGGGCTCATACCTAACCCTAATCCCAACCTAAAATCAATCACACCTAAATCCTAAACATGACCCATGCAACAAAAAAGCAATTCCAGGTGAGGGTTCCTGGCATATCATCTCAATGGTGGAGGTAACAAAAATGTATGAATAATGATAAAGTTCAAAGAACATACCTAACTAAAATATTATCAGACAGACAGACAGACAGACAGACAGACAGACAGACAGACAGACAGACAGACAGACAGATAGACAGATAGACAGATAGATAGATAGATAGATAGATAGATAGATAGATAGATAGATAGATAGATAGATAGATANTCATTCATAAACCTAAAGCACATCAAATGAATCATAATTTAGGAAGAATAAGATAAAAATATAATCAACAATTTTTTTCCCATCTTGCCAAAAATGATGACGCTGATCTATGCTGACAACAGAGATGCTGTAAACGCACAGGCGCTGGTTTCCTCCAGATGGAGATAAGTTTCCCATCATGACCTCACAACCCACTGTGTCAATACACACACACACACACACACACACACACAAACACGCCACAGTGGCAGTCCGGTCTCATGTTGACCGGGCCATGTGGTAACTGTAGGGAGTTTTGGATCATACTGTGATCACGCACATACACTAAAAAGACACAAACACAAACATATGTGTTTGTGTTACTGACGCATTTTCAGAGAACACATTATATATGACCCATTGACCACACCTTGTATCTACCGTAATCTCATCATCATGTTGTTCTTATTTCTTTAATCTTGGTTACTGAATATTATCAACTAGTATCATCTGATAGAAATCTAACTCCCCTTTATAGGCTGTTTCTCCTTATTAAAATACTTAGATGAGTATTGAAAAAAAATCAGCTTTTGCTATTGTTTTCCTAAAATGCAACAGTAGTAGGTGCAGCAAATCTATTTATCATTTGCAATCATGACCTTTTCAACAAATTAGCCAATCCAGTCTGCAAAATCTGTCTGCAGACATGCATTGGTGTGAGTTTTCCATTTAATGGCAAAGGATTGTATGATTTTTTTTTTTATTATATCAGGAAAAAATATACAATTCAAATAATATTGCTTTAGTTCCTCAGTAACTGTAGCCATAAGAAGCAATAAGAGTACCATCAAAAGGCCAGATATATAACTGGCATGAACTTGAATGAAGAGAATTTAATAATATCTAACAAAAAAGATCATCCCAGTAATCCATCACCTCTAGACCTAAATGGCACTGGAAGGTTATTTGCATTTACAATTTAAAAAAATGCAATTTCGAAATTGCAGAGGCAATTAATATTTGGTCTCACAACATACCCTAAGAGTTTCAGTCCAGTCATTTTTGTGAATGTAACATGTTGGCAGAAGGAAAGATTATGGTTGCCAAAAGTTGCAGATGCACAGCAACTACATTAATGGAGCAGACCCCGATTTAAGGAGCTTTTGGACTTGTGAAGGGCTGAAAATATAAAACCTTTCAAGTCATCGTCATTGCTCATTGTTTATTTCATGTTGTTGTCCTCTGACTGATAATAATGTTTTTGTTTTTTTTGAATATTATTTTTGAATATTTTTATTTAAAGCTTTATTTATGTTGTTGGTCTTCATCCACCTTCCAGGCTCCATTATGAACCAATCTTTTTAATTGTGAAGCTTAACCAACAGCGTTACATAACGCTTTATTCTGCTTTCCCTGCCTCCTTTTTCAAATATCAGGATCTGACCCAGTATGTATTAAGAGAGGTATGCCGGATTTACATAAATCACTTTTAAGAAAATGTTATTATGTTGTTTTTTGTTGCTGGCAATCACGTAAATATGCTGTGTGATACTTTACCTTAATGGCAAAAAAGAAGGAACTAGCATCATTGCAAGGCAAAAACCTTAATGGAAAATTTTGAATCTTTTGCTATAGTCTGTTTTATTAACAGACACTTAGGAACCTGGATACAGGAAGGACCAAGTGAAACTAGAGAGAATATTTTTTGAGCCAATCCAATCCCTGGGCTGAGCGTATCAGCCGATATCCTATACCGCTTTGATTCAACTATTAAATGAATGAACCATATACCTTGCCATGTGAGTGAAAGCTTTAACCTTTAGACTTAGACTTAGACACACAAGTCTAAACAAAAAGACATTTCGTTAAGTACAGCTCTCTTGACTATTTCATTTTTAAAGTGCATCCTTGATATAAGCCTTTATATAAGGTAACAAATTCACACAGATTCAAATGTACTTTATATCATTTGTTTACAAGTAACAGGTATCTGATTAGTGCATCTCTAATTAAAAGGGATAGATCCCCATTTTAAAGGTGGGACAAGGGCGGGGCTTACAGGGTCAAGAGAAACATGCTAGAACCATCAGATAGCCACAGATGTGATCAGATATTGTATCTTTTTAAACAAAAATAGCACAGCAGCTAGCTGTTGAAAGATTCATCTAGCAAAATTTGATAAACGGCATCTTAAAACATTGCTATGGTGCGGCCGCTAGCTTGACTTTTATCCTTCATAGAAAATCGGCATTGCATTATGGGTAATTCTGGCACCCCCATGTAAACTCTCGCTTCTTGTGCTGCGATTGTTCCAGACTATTTTAGACAGGAGAATGTGAATTTCTTGGCTCCCTAAAGGCTCAGTTATGTTGCAGCACATACATTTCAATTGAGCTTTTATGCTCTGAGTAGCTTTTCCCCCTGTTCCTATTATTCTGGCCAGTTTGAGGTAGGCATTTACAGCATACATTGCAAGCCTAAAACACCACAAAACACGACAATGTAGAAAAAACAGCTTTTTCTTCTGTTTTTAAACGTCTTTGTGTCATCCAAGAGGGACAGAAACTTATATCCAAGAGTTTTTCACACACTGTTAATTACTGTGATAGTTATAGGCCGAATCAAGATGTCTCTAGATGTTTGTATTTACGAGCACTCGTCAGTAGAAGCTATTACTCGTCCATTGTTTTTTATAAGCATGGCCCTTGTCTACATAGTTACAAATTTTGCCAAGTGTCCTACGCAGAAAATCAGGCCTCGGGGAGGCGTGTGGATTCCAAGATGACATCGTTGGGCTGCCCAGATCTCGTCGACGCGTCAGTCATAACCCAGGCTTATCACTGATCCATACTTTAGAGATCATTAATACCTTTTTAAATGACCTTGAAGTATTGCAAGGATTAGGTTGGTGAAGGTCATTCTACTCTTTCAACATTTCCTACTTTTTACAGATTTCTGTAATCTCAAACCAAATCTTCAGGTAAGATTAAAGAAATATCTGATGATTTCAAATGCTGAAAACCTTGTGGGAATCTGAGAGTTAAAGGGGCTATCTTCATTTTCACCCAGAAACTGCAGTTAACACTTTGTAACTCTAATCTAGATCATCGCAATAATCATTAATATAACATGTTAACACAGGTTAAAATGTCAATTCTGCTATTGTTGTACCTTGTTTATTTTAAATCCTGTGATACAGCGACTGTGCTCAAACACACAAACTCTATGGATACAAGGCTAAAAAGAAATGATTGGAACACTGTTGATTATATCTAGAATAACTCAAAACTAATATTAACAAAAACTGGAATTGGAAATTGTCCGCATCTAAACAAAATAAGGTTTTACATCTGAAATTTGTCTCTGCCAACTTAAGTCAACTGAAATTCCCCCTTATTTTGTAGTTTTTTTTAAACTAAACAACTCTTCTTTGCCACACAAAGTCTCTTCTGCCACAGCGCAAAATACAACAACTGTATCTGACAGCTCAGGTTTCGCTTTCCTAACATAAATGGATAAGACCGATTCCTGTTTAGAAATAAACAAGAGCAGATGATCCATTTATACAGAAATATCTCATCAACACGCAGAAACACACACACACACAGCGTGCTAACAGACTGCTTATGTGTATGTGTGCGTTAATCTCCTCACACTGAGAGACTCTAATAACCCCCCACGGGCCAAACCAACTGCTCTCTAGTGCTGCCAACGCACACATACACACAGTGCTGGCTTAATGACATTAGCTTGGATGAAATACAACAAAACAGATTGGCTTCAGACACACAAACACATTGAATTTACACCTTCATCTTGCTTCACTAACCAGTTCAGACTGAATGGTTTCCAAGTAAAAATCTAACACACAACAGGAAAGCTCTAAATAGGAGCAAAAACAGTAGCTAACTAATACAGAAATGGGACGAAACTGGCTTGTTGGGCCCCTTTAAATCTATCAAATGGTATGTTTTTAACCCATTCAGTTTAATCCATACACACTTGACAAAATTACACACCAGGTGTGGTCTTTAGATGCAATTAAAACCAATTCAAGAGGTGAAATACATTATTAGGAGGCATTAAACTTGAAATATAAATTACATTATCCTACCAAATATTGCATCTAAGCAGTCCATTGGGGTAAATAATGCACTGATGTTGTGATCTCAGCTGTTTGCAGCTCTAAATTAAGCTGATAGCATCTCTGTCTAAAATTAAAGTGAAAATAAACTTTTCTGAGCTTTTAACTATGTTATACTGCTTCTTAAATCCACATGGTGCATTTTTATTCATTCATGTCTGAGTAATCCTCATGAATTCTGATCTGTTACAAGCCGCCCCTACCTTTCCTGTCAAAACAAGCCAATAGGGCCTGTGTACTGTATGTAGAGCTGCCCTCTCCAGGAAGCACCTACCTAGACCGCGCTGTGCCTGCACTGTAAAAACCCACCTTTCTCTGAGAGAGAGTTGATGTAAGAAAGAGCGGGATGATTCTGGTAACAAAACTGAGTTCAGCTACACCCGCCCAAAGTACATATACCAAAATGGTGCCCAATCAGCCCTCTTACCTCACTGGTGTCATGTGACTTGTTAGTGTTACAAAGTCTCAGGTGTGAGTGGGGAGCAGGTGTGCTAAATTTGAGATACTTTATGGGTGTAATGCCTTCTGAGACCAAATGGCTTCCTACAAATGCAGTCACAGCTACAAAGCATCTTTTTAAGACAATGAGCAGGGTGTGATTTATTCATGCTTTAGCCTTTATAAGCTGTTAAATATGACTGGGCTATGATGTGAATATTTTATTCATGAATTCAGATAGTTTGATTTATCCTCTCCATAACAGCATCAGCTACTTTCAAACGTACAGGCGCAGTTTTTCCTATTACAGAAGAAAAGCACAGTGTAAAGCCTGGCCCCGTTGTTACCCACCTGTGGGACTCTCCGGGATGATCGGAGTCCAGGTCAGTTTGATTCTTGTGAGCAGGACGTCATGGCTCTTTTTCCCCACTTTGAAGATGCCTCGCATCAACACGCTCTCACTGAAAATTAGAAATGAAAGAGATAGTTTAATTTTACTTCAATCAACAAGATAGTTTTTGCAAATATCCCTCTTTGAACTGTTTGATAGAGTAGCCATTGAACCATACAGATAATTAATGGGGACTCTTCACTGAATAATCTGGCAGGAGAACTCCTGATCAAAATGTTGATATCAGACAAGAAGTTACAATATGCAAATGTTGAAAGGAAGAAACAGTTGAAAGAGGGTTTCATTTTATCTTCTGTCAGCTATTCACACTATTCATTCCAGCAGTGTCAAGGTTGTCGAGCACGGTTGCCAAGGTCTCAGTGAGAAAATAATTTCTTTAAACATGCTGAGGGGTAGGTATAAAAAAAAAAAAAGGTCGACTGGAAGAAAAGGCAGAGCATCAACCTAAATAAAGGTTGTTACTGATGCTGGGAGCAGCCCAGTAACCCTAGGATGGCATCTCGGAAAGAAGAAATAAAATGTATCTAAGGCTTCACCGCGTTCCACACCACAAACACGCCCATATGGACTATGAAAATGGGCACCAATAAGGGCCTAAAAGGATGGGAAAAAATAGTTTTATTCTGTAATGAGAATAAAAAAAAAATCACCTGGATGGTTCTGACATCTTCCAGAATTTCTGAATATTGAAGTACTGTATATATAATATTACTACAACGTGATCATCCAATTTCTCAGAACTGTTTATCCAAAGGTATTTGATAGATAGATATTTGAAATAAATATTAACTTATATTTGTACATTTTTATTAATAGTAATACAATAGAAATTTATTTATCTATTTCTCCTATTATTTTTTAATATTATTTTGTAACTGACAAATAGAATATTCTTTGAGTTATTTTAATCTTTGATTACGCAATCTATTTTAATTTCTAATGTTTGTTAGTTGTTCTTGTAACTATCAGCACCATTTTTTGTGATTACTAATACATGACTTTACTAATGCTTAGTGTTCTTTTAAAATAAAGTAAAGAAGTAAATTTGGTTCAATTAATCGAATAAGAAGGAGAAAACTCTCAATATCTAAGATAGGATTTTTCACTTGCATTCTTTACAGATGATGTTTAATGAAGAAATATTGAAGATTTTTCAGCATTCTTTTGAATAAACCAGCGGATTTATCTTAGTTTGGACCATCAGCTTCTGTAGTAAACATTTCATCACTGTGCATTCATCAAGCTATTCAGCAGCAAAACATGGCAAACAGGTCTAACCTAATGATTCCTCAGAGAGTTTTGGGAATCTGAGAGATGCTTTTCTTGTAAACTACAGTGTGAACACAGAGCGTAATCAATTAATCGTTCAATACAAATTGCCCACTGTGCTGATTTACAGAATAATGAATACACAGACAGCCACAAGATGTGGTTAGCATTGTTAAAATCTTTTTAAAAATACAATAATATCATTGTATCATTAATTAATTGTAAAGTTCTGAGTTGGAGAAAGAAGCCAAGTTTTTACCAATAAATGGCCCCACTTACTGTTTTTACACCTTGTTAGAGCAAATTGAAAAAGTTTTCCTTAAACTGAATTTTATAAAAATGTATTTTAAAACAATTAATTTGTTTAGGTTATTTTCTATCAAAGGCATACAACAGATAATTTAATGAAATAAGAGAGTTGCTAAGTCATGATTGTCTTGCTGAGCATAACCAGATGATATTTATTTGTGATAAAAGAAATCGTCTCTGATCGTGAAGAGTGTCCATCCTGGCAGAAAACAACAGATCTAAGTTTCTAGGTTTTAAATGTATTTTTGCAGGCTTACTTTAAAACGAAAGATTTTATATACACATTTTCCTAGTTGGTTTTGTTTCTGTAATTACAAAAGATAAAAACTAGAAACACATTTCATTTAGTTACTTAAATTGATGGTGTTAAGAAAAAAATATTAAAATTATTATTGGAATATGTCAAATTTTAACCCATTTTTTTTTTAAATATGTAAAGAATGTATTTATCAAGGCCCTAATTTGCACAATTTCTACCTTTAATATGACTCTTTCAACAAAAGGGAGAAATATTAAACACAGGTTTTGGGCTCAAATCAAATATTTTGTTTCCTCATTGTAAGAAAAACAATTCCATTAAAAGAAAAAATAAATAATAATAATAAACATTGAACTTTTTTTCTCTGTGAATTAATATTATGGTGAAAAAACTGATAGAAAGATTGTGTTAGATTATTCTACAAATTTAAGAAAACTTTTTCTGAAAGTCTAAATGTTTTGGTTTGTCGCTTGTTGCATCTTGCAGCATCTTCTATTTCTGTAATGAGGGAATGTAATTATTTAGCATCAAATTGAACAGTCATTGATTTAACAGATTAATGTGACAATACCTAGTGCCTAAAACATGAGGGTAAAATCAACCCTAATCAGTGTAATATGCAATCTAATCTATGGAGGATGGGTTAAGGTAGAATACTACTTCCGGTCGCACGTTCCGTTATGGCAGGGCTTTTATTTTGAAAGAGTTCCATAAGGGGCATGTCTGCGTTAAACTTTACCGCTTTTATTATTTAAGTATCTTTTTAAAAAGGATCTGAGGAACTTAATGTAGCTACTACTCACCCCGGTTCCTCTTCCCTCTCCACCTGCTCCTCCTCCTCCTCCTTCTCCTCATTGACCCTCCGCTTCTCCTTCTTTTTCTTTTTCTTCTTCTTGCCGCTGTCTCTCATCTCTCCCTGCGCTTCAACATCCAGCTCCGACATGTTTGCACTCCCAGTTAATGAAACAAATAATAAAAATAAAAAAACAAATAAAGAAATAAGAAAAGAGCGCAGCTGAAAATTGTTTGTGTCCGATAAACAAGCAGTAAGCTGCTCAGTGTGTATTTCCGGGGTCTCGTCGCTATGGAGACAGGTAGCGGCTTCATCGGGCACGCGGTAATCTACATCCATGCTCTGTCAACTCGGGAGCGCGCATATATTTTGTTCTTTTATGGATGTTTATTTTCATTATCTTTTCAAAATGATTATATAATTTAACACTAGATATACAAATACTTTATTACTAAATTAGCTACTTGTATGAATTATATCAAGTTTGAATTCATTCAACTTTATATATACAAGTTATGCCATTAAGACCCAAGATCTCATTTCCAAGACCTCAGTTATAGCTTAATATAATAACATATGACCAGGATAAAACTAAAGTAACTCTAAAGCAGGTATAATACTTTCGTAAAATGCTCAGAGGGATACGTTCTTGTTAAAAAAATGAAATGTGTATTTGAACAAGTTGGGTAGTGACCAAATCTTAAAGGGTAAAAAAAACTGACAGCCAACACACATTGCTGCTTACTGTATATAATTTTACAGAAGCTCCCAAAAATAATAGTGGTTTCAACATACAACAAACCCAGATAGTATGTCGCCTATTCTTCAAATTATCATTTCAATTGTTGTGAAATATTTCAACCATTAAACTCTTGGGATTTGAAGATGGAAAGAATAAAAAAAGCTATGTAAATATAATATAAATAGGATTTTTTATTCAAAACACTTTGGTAGCATTAATAGGCTATCAAAATATATTTCTCCAAAACTCTTTAACAGTCAATATTCATTAAAAAAATAAAACAATAAATGCATTGATCAGCAAAAAAAATAAAAAATACAAAGGTCTTATGATTGAACCCAGGTAGAATTTGATGCATTATAATGGCCAAATGTCCCCTGCTTTTGTCATTGCAGAACTACTTACACCCTTTGACAAGAGACATGAAGAATGTCTTTCATGGCATCCAACAGTTTGATACACCTGGGTTGTTGTGTAGATGTGTGATGTTATTTAACAGACACCTGCCAGCCAATCAGGAAGCCTGGGGGTGTTGCGGTATTAATTCCATATTATGAGCCTCGGCTGAAACACTCACTCAGCATGTGTCCTGCTGACAGATGGCTGAGTTTAAATCTGCATTAATCAGTGTTATGATCAGCCAACAGACTGAAATACAAAACCCCGATCACAAAGGCTGCTTACAATACAAAGGTAATGCTCCTAATGAAACTGTTATTCTAGGATATTTTCATGCTGCAAAAAGACTAACCTGCATTATGTATTTGCTTTTCAAGGAACTCAGTATAGATTCCACTTTCTCTTTTTCTTGATACTGAAAAAAAATAACCAGGTCTGTGATATAACAATGCTTCTTCCCCCAATATCACTTAAAAAAAGAGAAGTTTATTCCTTGTAAATCTTGTAACGTTTACAAAGAATAGGTATATCTGTGACTAACAGAGCTCAGTTATTGGCTTATACCAAGGAAAAACTTGATAGTACATCTTGGTTGATGCCCAAGAGTTTTTTTTGTTTTGTTTTTTAGCTTTTTTTGTGTTTCTATTTGGTTATAGCTGAAATAGCTTTAAAGAAACAGTAGAAAGTGCAATAACACGGTCTTCACTATTGCACTAGTGAGCTAAAAAACAACAACAATTGTCTAGTTTTCTTCTTTATGCCAGACACCAACCTTGGACACACACTAATGTAGGATGGTAACCCAGAACTCAACCAGGAGTTGTGGCAACTCAATGAAAATGGTTGTATTTTCAACTCTGGCAACAAAGACAAGGTCCAAGCTGATACTTGACTATTTTAGTGCGGAGTGCAGAATGACCACTACATCCTCTCTGCTACCAAATTCTAGAGCTGACTTCTTATGCATCTACCCAGAATTCTAAGGTTTAAAGACCTGGGGAAGTCCGTGCTTGCAGAATCTGGTTTTTATGTCACTAATTATAAAGGTTGCCTATTACAACCCATGATTTTATCCCTAACTTTGCACATAATAAGCTACATATTCACTTGAAAGAAAACACATTTAATGACTTTTTCCACAATTTTTTACCCTAAAGCTAAACATTTAGGGAACATATCAAACCATAATATATTTAACTTTAATTTTTTTTGACAAATGAATCAACTAATAAAACTGATTATGTTGAAAAATGGCAGCCAAATTACTGTATTTTCCTTCAGAAATACAGCAGGATTGTCAAATGTTTTCTTTATCACTTGAAAAATAGTTTTATTTTTTCCCTGCATTCAGTTGGTGAAAAACATTGCATTCAGTTGGTGAAAAACATCCCATTTCAACAGGGAGGGTAAATGGTGGGATATGGCCACCATATTGTCCCAGTTGACTTACACACACACACACACACACACACAATCAAACAGTAGGACATTAGAGTGTGAGTCTGAGCTAAGTGTGTGTTTGGGTGTGGGGCTCTCATGCATAAACAAGATCATTTTCATAAATTAAAATCTCGCCTGCAGAACGAACATCTGTGCCCCTCACACACACACACACACACATGCACACACCCACACACCAATCACTGTTTTGTCCTTCATAAAGTATGATAGTGTTGTTTATAGGGTTCACTCAGCAAGGAAATCGGTAGGATTTTAATTTCTGTCAACTGGAAATGTTCGCAATCCTTAAATCATCTGAATAAAAGGGCTTATATATTTTAGATTTTTCTGAAATAAGAATGGCAAACACAATTATCTTTTATCATTTATTATCATATTGCAACTATGGGTATGTTTTGTAAATAAAAGCTCTGAAGAAACTAAGAGAATCTGTCCAAACCATTGTTTTTTGTAATGTTGCAAAAAAATAAAAATGAGTCATACAGGTGAATCACATTGATTTTCTTTTAATAAAAGGCTTTTATAAACATCTATCTTATAAAATATGAACAAGAGTCACATGAAATTATAACATAATGCTACAGAAACCATATAAAAAGCAAAACACTTAGAAACAACATGAACACTTCAGCCTGACACCGGCGCAAGTTCGCCTCTCACACAATGACCCCAAAAAAATAGAGAAATCTTTTAACATTTGGAATCAGCGGCTGACCATTAGTTCAGCCTTCAACAAAATTGCATAGTTTTCTCCAGATTATTGCTCATTGATTGTTGCTTTTTTTTTTTTTTTTATGATAATATGGACTCTGACAAGACATTCAAGGAGCGTCTCCTGTCAGGTGAAGCGCTATAAAGAAGGTTATGGCATTGTTGAATTGCCATCAAAAAGAGGAGTTAAAGACAGATGTGGACAGAAAGATGAACAGCAAGAAGAGACCGAAAGACAGCGATTAAGTGATAGTCTTCGCAAATCATGGTCTGTCTGTCTACATCAGTCTAACTGTCCATCATCCTCATGAGTCATGAAAGATGGCATTTAACTGGGCATTCATAAGCCGCTCGTGGTGCGAGTGTCCGTCAAATCCCATCAGTTGTTCCACCTGCAGCTCACCGCACCGCGGGTTGGGCCCCCCGCTGCCATAGATGGGGGGATGGCCACCAGCTCCTCCAGCTCCGTAGTGCACACCGAAAGAAAAGCTCTTGTCATATTCGGAGGCTGGAACAGGCTCATGCTTGAAGGATGAGAAGTTACCATTGATGCTCAACGGTGGACTGAGAGGGGGATCGAACGCCGGGGCATCTGACACCAGGACTCCATCGAAGAACGGTTCCAAGGAGCCGTATGGCTGACCTTTGACCTGGTGGAAGATGTGAGAGGGGTCCATGGTGCCGTAGGGGGGGCTGGGCAAACCGGCTGTGAGTCCAGGGCTCTGGTAGGAGAAATGTCCAGGATATGCGGCGGCACCAGCAGGGGGAAGGTGTGGGGGCATGTCTGGTGTCTGCTCTGGAAGGAAGGTCCGAGGGTTCAGCTGAAGGCAGCCCGCCACCAGGTTAGTGGTCGGCTGAGACAGACCTGGGAACACAGAGGGAGTGATAGGTCAGTATTTATCAGTGATATGAAGCGTAATGCGATCTATAACTCAACCCTGTCTCCTGAAGAATGTTGAGTGGCTTTCATCATTTCTCTATATGTTGGCGTTCCTCTAAGCTGTTAATATGAGCCCTGCATTTTTGGGGAGCGTTAATCTAGAAACCTTGATTCATCTATGTTTATAACTCTTAAAAAAAAAAGGAAATAGTTCTTAAGTTGCTCTGTGGTGTTGATGGAGTTAAGTCTGGAATACAGGTTGACTTCTAACAAACTTTGTTTTCAGAAAGGCAACAAACAATATGTAAATACTATGAGAATATAATGAAGAGCTATGCACTGGCAGCAATATGTGAGAATTTGCTATATATAAAATCATTCTGGGAAATCAAACCTTAGATTTATATGATCACTGTTTAGAATTCTGATTTCTTTATTCTATTTGTAAAAACCAAAGCAATGTGAGTGTTATTAGTGTAATGCATTTTCTCAATTTGTGAAAACAAAAAAAGATGGACTATTAGTTTTTGCTAAATTCTACACTCATTCACCAACAAACCAAATCTTAAATATTCACCAACTTCCAATAGATATAATACCACTTCTTAGTTTAGTGGTTAATGATTATAAATTTTAACTATTGTTGAGTAAGTGTCAGTAAATAAGTCGTGATTATGAGCATTGACATCTGATAACTTCCTCAAAGCTAAAACAATTATTTAAAAAAGTTGACATATTAAGCTGATTATAAATGTTGTGTATTTTAATTATTTATATATATCATGTATTTTCTATTTGCCAGGAAACCGGACTGTAGAGCTTCTGACCTTTGCAGAGCGCCTGGACGAAACTCATGAGGTCGGGGGCCTTGCCAGAGCGTAGGATCTCACTAAGAGCCCAGATGTAGTTCTTGGCGAGGCGCAGCGTCTCGATCTTGGACAGTTTCTGAGTTTTGGAGTAACAAGGGACAACTTTTCGGAGACTCTCCAAAGCGTCGTTCAGCCCGTGCATGCGGTTCCTCTCCCGGGCGTTGGCTTTCATCCGACGAATCTTAAACCTGCACAGAC